ACTCATAAATTACCTGCAAGGGTGATCGAACAGCGTGCCGAAGTTATTTGAGAGAGGGCTGCCGTCGTACTGCTTGCGAAATGACGTTCTTTATAAGAGGAACTTTTCACCCGCCAGCAGCAGCTACTTGCTCGTCGTTCCTTCTTCGCTTCGCCGTGAGGTACTGCAAGCCTGCCACGACAAACCTACCACTGGTCACTTGAGTTACGCAAGAACATTGGCGAGGATAACGCAGAACTATTACTGGCCAAGACTTGCCGAAGTTGTCACAACTTACATGCAGGCATGGCTACATTGCCAGCGTCGCAAGCCACCATCCATCAAACCAGCTGGCCTGCTGCAGCCTGTCCGAGTGCCGGCGACACCGTTCGCACAAATCGGCATGGCTTTTCTCGGCCCCTTTCCAAAGTCTGCCACTGTAAACAGGTAAATAATCGACGCCACGGATTACCTAACCCGATACGCGGAGACAGGCGCTCTGCCACGGGCAACGGCAGCAGAAGCGGCGCAATTTTTCATCGAAGCCATCGTCTTAAGACACGGTGCTCCCGCAATAGTCATCACCGACAGAGGTACTGCGTTCATGGCCGAGCTTTTGGATACCATTTTCTGACTAAGTGGTACAGCTTACAGAAAGACAACGGCGTATCATCCCCAGACCAATGGTCTCACCGAACGCCTCAACAAGACCCTGGCTGACATGATAAGCATGTACCTAGATGTGGAGCACAAGAACTGAAACGTCATTTTGCCCTACGTCACGTCGCGTACAACACGGCCCGTCAGGAGACCACTCAAAAGACACCCTTCAGCCTCCTTTACGGACGCGAGGTTACGAGAACGTTAGACGCAATGCTCCCTCATGAAAATGATGGCAATGAGACGGACGCCGAAGAGTTCACCCAGCTAGCAGAAGAAGCCAGACAACTTTCCAGGTTGCGAATCACCAAACAACAAGATGACGATGCCAAACAATACAACCTCCGGCACAGACCCGTCATATACAACGTGGACGACAAAGTATGGGTCTGGACACCTATTCGTCAGCGTGGGCTCTCCGAAAAGCTGTTGCGAAGATACTTCAGACCCTACAAGGTTCTGCGACGCATCAGTGACGTCAACTACGAGGTTGTTCCGGACGGCGTGCAGTGTTCGAAGCGCCGCAGACATTCACCAGAAATTGTCCACGCGCTTCGGATGAAACCTTATTTTCAGTGACTAACTGTGCAGTTTTTGTTTCGCCTTGCTTCTCGAACGTTTAACATCGGGGGGATGTTTTTTAAGGGGGAATAATGCCGCGCGTATATGCCAGTGGTGGCGAGAACGAAGCAGCGCGAGTGTCCTTGACCGAGTGCAAAAGACGAAGAAGTCGTTGCAGTCTTTTTTCCTGCGATCAATAAAGCGCATTTGTTTGAGGAGCTTTGTGTGCTCGTCGATCCTGCGTCGTCACACTATACTATACAAGACCACGCTACAATTGCTTAATATCTCCTCATTTTTCCTTTCATATCTTTCTCTATTTATCTCTCTCACTCGCCTAAACCAAGGCAATCGTAGAGTTCCCATAAATGCTTGCCACTGTTAGCGTGCCTGGATAGTGGAGTAATAAGGACGCTTGCCTTCTGCCCGTACTCGGGTTCGAATGCCACCTCAGCAAGAAATATTGGTTGCCTTCACTTTTTATCTCCTCCTCTCTATTACAGCGCACGACACTCATACGTGGCACATCGTTCATTCTACATCAGCATGGACATCAACGAGACCGCGTTCACGCGCAGCGCGTGCGTCACGAGACGGGGCGTGCCATGGTCCCTGCTGGTGATGATGGCGTTGGTGTCCGATGCCACAGCTTCTTCCCTGCTTAAATGTTCAAACGATCGGGAGCAGGGCACTCTCGCGTTCAGCACAGCAAAGGGTTGAGTGGTTGGAGTCGGCGAATTGTGTGTCTCAACCTGTGTCCTCCGCCATGGGGCGCCAACAGTTCTTAATTATCGCTGACCCTAGAACAGTCTTTACAGCCCAATGATGCATGACGTCATTAGACTTAGTGAAACAACTCATCGCAAAACGACCGCCTACCATGCACAAACCAATGGTCTGACGGAGAGATTAAACAAGACGCTCGCTGGCATGCTCTCCGTGTACGTCGACTACGATCACAAAAACTGGAATGAAATTTTGCCTTACGTAACGTTCACTCACAACACTGCGGTTCAAGAGACAACAGGCTTCACTCCTTTACGGTTGCTTAACGGCCGAGAAGCAATTACGATGCTGGATGCCATGCTCTTGCCTGACATGACCGATATTCCTACTGATGCGAGCGACTTCATCATCCGGCTCGCCGACGCAGCCCGCCAGCTTGCACTCGAACGGATCCGAAATCAACAACGCATCGACTCGCAGAGGTACAACTCCCGTCATCGTCATGTCATTAACCGACCCGGTGATCTGGTGTGGCTGTGGATCCCCGTTCGCCAAAGGGACCACTCGGAAAAGTTACTTCACCGCTACTTCGGTCTTTATAGAGTACTACGGCGCCTCACAGATGTCAACTACGAAATCCTGCTTGAAGAAACAGCTCAGCGATCTCGACGTTCCCAGCAGGCGGACATTGTTCACGTGCCACGGATGAAGCCACACTACCCCCAAGCCACCCGACACTGCTTCATCGTGCGTCTTTGTGCGTGTACGCGATTACTTTAACTTCTAATCGGCATTGAGCATCAGGGAGGTACTTTTTTTTTGAAGGGGGGTAATGCCACAGGCAGCATTTCGTGACAAAGAAGACTGGTTGTTGTGCTCGTGGTCTAACGTTCACTTCAGCTCGACGTCCAGTGCTGCTGCTCCTGTGAACAGACGTTGTGGTCTATCGTAATCACGTGATAATATGCTACTGGAAGGGAAAATATACAAACCACGGACATTTTGAAGGTGGTCGTTGGGGAAAATAGGGGGTGGAAGTGGGTGGCTTGGGGCGAGGAGGGGTCTACTTTATTCATGTTCTCACTTTTTTTTTCGCGTACCCTCTCTCCTTCAAGATTGTATAAAACTGAGCACCAACAAACTGTACCCTCCTTCCTGCTGATGAAGAGCAGACTCTGGCTGAAACGTCGGAATAAACATTGTGACTTCTCACGGAGGATCTACTTATACTTATACTTATTTATATATATATATATATATATATATATATATATATATGGTTCTTATAGGCAGGACAATATATATATATATATATATATATTGTCCTGCCTATAAGAACCACCAAGAAATTTTAATGCCACTTCCAATGGCGTACACTTTTGCAGCCTCTTCAATAAAGTTACGAGGAGTACATCACCAGGTTTGTAGGAACCACTGTTATCAAGCGTTCGCAGATAAATTACTTTTGGGCACACCATCGTGTAGCGGATAACACAAAAAAGTCAAATTATGCTTTTTATACACTTTCAGCATACAAAAACTATGAACGTCTATTGTCAAGTGCCCCAAAATATAATTGTCAAGCATTCCAGAACGCGAAGGTGCTGAATAAACGTCACGGAAAAATTGCATCATCATAAATAGAAGGACTTTGTCACATATTTAGCGCCATATAGTTCTGCTACATGCATTGTGGATTTTTCTTTTAGCCTCAAAGCAAAAAGCTGGTTTTGAGGAAAAAAAACTTCAGGTGCTCGGCACGCGAAAGTTCAATGGGCTAAAACTAGATAGCGCCTACATGCTCTACTAAATATGTGATATGTCATTACTGCGACAAATGAGATTTAAAAAAACTGAGCGGGTCACATGTCACAACCACCATCTAATTTCCTGCGGCTGCTTCCCCGAGGGAGCCGCCGCCACCCGCTTATCCATCCCTCTAGTCTCCGCCCCGTCCCGCCGCAGCGGCCGCAACTGCAACTACGGCCGATACGCGCTCTCCCATTGAAAGCCGCTCGATGTGGCAGGCCGTACCGCGAGTGCTTTGTCATCTAGTGGCCGTGGTATAGCTGACCCCCCCCCCCCCCGAATAGCATTTCGGGCTGCGCCCGTTTCTAGACTTTCACCATTGAAGGAAATTTCCGATGCCACTGCAGAACTTTGTAGAAGGAACAAAGATGTACAGCTCATTGCTTTCCAAAAAGCGCCATGCCGTCTCCTGTGTCGGCTATGAAACTACTTGTGGGCTTCTTGTTGGAGGTTTCAACAGCGCAATTACGGTTTGTCTCGTGCAAACTTTTTAACCTAGTTTAATGGTGCAATACGTCATCATAACGATGTAGTACCGTCGGAATGTGGCCAGTGGACTATGCTGGTAAAACAGGCCGGAGGCGAATGAACATATTTCCATCTATTTTGGAGGTTTGTCCCAGTGTTGTGGTAATGGCGCTCATATGCCTCTGGACAGTTACTCATTCCGCGCGTGGGGTTTGACGTAAGGGGGCACCACACGGCACGAAATTCGTTCGTAGCTGTACTTTTTTTTTTCAAGCCACAGTATTTGTTCAAGCGAATATGTATAATCCATCTGATGGATCTATTATACTATTTCTAAACATTCCAACCCCGTTGCGTCAGTATCGTATAGCCATCTCACCTTATAGCGGAAGAAGACGAAAGCTAGCATATTAATGATGCAGGCACACAAAGCAGGCTGTGGACACCTCTCTCGCATCACATAACCAATGGAAGCCGTGAGTCCCAGAAAAAGGATGTGGCTCTGTAATGTGTCTATGTAACAAGATTCAATGGAGACCTTTCCTTTTTATAGGAATATAAAACCAGCAAAAAACCACACGAAGACAGCAAAGAAAAAAAAATAACCACACAGGAAAAGCGCTGGTTGTTCTTCGCTGTCTTCGTGTGGTTTTTCCCTGGTTTCATCTTTTAATTACAATGAACCAACTCGCCCAGAAAGCTACGTTACTTACCCTTTTTTTAGTGGACGTCTTCAAAGACTTCCTCTGAGACACTGTCACCGTAAAAAATATATCTGCGATCGATCTTGGAACATATTATAGGTACAAAGTTATATTACATTTATTACACCGATTACAAAACATTGAAAATTTAAAATAATAAAAAATACAAATAAGCCATAAATAGCGATATGTCAACTTCACAAAAAACTGCTAAACTTGCTTTTCTCTAGACTTTCCACATAAATCATATATTCCCTATTGCCAGAAGCAAAAAAAAAAAGCTCATTACTTTTCTTCATAAACTTCTACAAATGGCTTGCCCCACATGAAAAACAGCATTTTCTTTAGTTATATGTGGAACATACTATATGATGCACGAAGTATGTGCAACAATCTTAAATATTGAGCGAAGACCAAGCCCGACCTGATCCCGCTACCTCATTCCTGGTCCTAAGCCGAGAGCTTCAAACCTGAACCCCGCCCTGGCCCACGGTAAAACCTACTTCACCCTGAGCTTGGGTTTTCGAGTAGGCCTGAGCCCTTGCAGTGCTCTACAGGAGGGCACACGAACACTGAAAACGTACTTGAGAAACATGTAATGTGGTTCAATAAAACTTGTTGCTGGGTGAGTTGGTTAGTACTTGGTAGGTAACTATGGTTGCGTACTGAAAACACAAGGTTTGAGCTCGTCTGTGTTTCACATGTCGTTGTGTTCTAAGTGCACAACCATAGTTACCTACCTGCTATGGAATGGGTTGCATACAATACCCAAGTTTAGTAAAGAACCAATGTGAGGGTCATACCAATACCCCCATGTCTTGCATTAGGGTTGCTTTGTGATTTCTTCTTGTCCCCCCCCCCCAACCCAACCTCACTTCCATGAATGGTACTGAGGGAGCAAAGACAACGCAGCATATTTGTGGAAGCGCAAAACCAGAATAGTGGCTCAGTATTTAAAGATTGAAGAAATCAACTACTCACGCTGTACAACCATTCACTGGTGACCTTGAATATACGTATATGCACTGAATCTCGACATTCAAGGTAGCGGCAGTGGGAGCTTTCTGCTGTGCATTATTTCACAAAAAAAAATTTTCAGCAGGTGCATTGACTAAAAGCAGACTGCGGGTCGCCGTGTCCATCGGTGTCTTTTGTCTCTCGTTGCCCATTAGCACAGTAGGAAACACCGGTCCATCCCTGTGTGCTTTGTGCCTCCCCAGGTACCTCTCCTGCACAACGCCCTGATGAGCGCCAGCATCAATGTTGCCGCCAGTAAGTGTTAGCGCCCACTGCTTCACACCTACACATGGTTCCCTTTAGCAGGAGATGGTGTAAATTTTTTTATTCCATCTCGGAGAAATCCCTGCCCGTGAACTAAGAGGGGGAAGCTGACATGCTTTCCACTAGAAGTGGATAAAAAAAGTACTACATATATGATGTCTTCTGACGTCCAAAAACTGTATTTGGCCTCCCTCATGGTGTCACATGCTGTACTTAGGGAAGGATTTGCAGAATTTGAGGATATACAAACCATGAAGAGTGCAGAAATGAGATCACGGATAAAAATAAAGCGCAGCCATTGTGTTATGATTCATACAACACCGTCTTTAGAGCACCCACTTCCCTCTGGTAGCAGTGCAGAAAGCTCCTCAGTTCACGCAGAGATAGCCATTGTGAAATCCATGCTTATATGGCCAACTAAAACCAGCAGACCTTCCTGGACTCCATTATATGCTGAAAGAAAACGAACCCTCACAATTCCCTTTCTTCATTCATGCTTACATAGTGGTGACATGCTGAGTGAGACTAACAAAGCTTGCACTGCACTCCTTCTTCATGATATCCCCTTGCATACAGAATAATATGGTGCTAATATAGTGTTTCTCGCATTTGAGCCTATTTGCATAAGAAATGAGGTACAACATTCAAAAGAAGTGAAACGAAGATTTTCCCGAGACAAATTTAAACTGCTTGCTTGAGTTATATAATAAATGTACAGGAAATAGGAGAGACAGAATTTGGGAGCCCTGACCAAAAGTACAGCCACTAGCCTCCCCACACCTCCACATCGAACTGTGTAGAGTAATTAAGTTTTCAAGGCTGTCTGGACACCTTAAACCTCATGACATCAAACTGTTGTCTCCATAAGCTGACTACAAAAGTTGCTACTATGAATAATTCTTGCGATCTGCAAGAATTAAAAACTTTGAAAATGAATAATTTCTAAGAATTTATTTCCACTAACACAAGCTCTCCCCCGGAAACACTAACATTCTTAGAATCCTTTCAAGTGCTATATCCACTACTTGTTTTGAAGTTGGAACACTCTGATCAGCAGCACCATTGCATAAAGAGCACCAAAAGGAGTATGGCATGCTGTATTCACTGGCTTTGACAGATGGCTGGAGGAGCCCTGAATGCTCAAAGCTTTACTACAAGTGAAGCTTCTTCAGTGCAGTGTACATTATCAACCCCTAGTTCAACGCATAGTTCATCGTTTGGGTGTGTCTGGCCAGACAGTATGGATGTGCCATTGGTAACTCCTAGTGCAACAGACACTTGTCACCAAGAATGAAATTAATTCAGCACACTGAAAGAGAGAAGCCCCACCACTGGACCAAGAAAAAAAAGAATGATAGGTGCAACAGGGTGTTAACCTCTTCAGTCAAAGCAATGCCCAGCATAACTTACAGCACGGTGCATGAAGAAGAACACCAAGGCAGTAGGGATGACAGCACTCTGCAATGTATCCTCTGCCTTTGTTCATTACATTCTCTACAGTTAAATCTTGCCACAAAGATAAATCCTAGTGCCCATTCTGACGTGTACAGTCATCCAAGACAGGCAATGGCCCCTATCGACAATCCGGATACCCCAAATGCAACAGGAGGCAGCAATTATTCGGCCTAGGAAGCCACCTGGCCACTCATGAGCCCAAGGTAGAGGATGGGGCCTCCTGGCTTCCTCCACCATCTTGTTCCTCTCTCTGCTCGATGAGAGGCGGCAGCAGCAGTGCCTCTCGCAGAGTGTCTGGGGCTAGGGGTAGCTGCTCGGCTAGGTCCTCATCTGTGGCAGCACGAACCCGCATGTACAGCTGGACATAGCGGTGCCACAACATGTTGAGGGCGGCACGGCGCACTGCCTGCTGTCGCTGGCGTCCCACCAGAAGGGCAAGCGGTGGCAGGGTGCCCCAGGCCTCCGGCTGCTCACAGAGCTCTGCCAGGCCCTGGCTCAATGCTTGCAGACATAGCGGTTCTGGCAGAGGCACAATGCTGCCACTACGTGATGGGTCGTCAGCCAAGGCACTGCCCAGCCGGCTCACGAAGTGCTCCAGTTGTTCCTCCACTGCAGGAGCATACATGGAAGGCAAAGTCGCTCTCGTCATAGTGCCAGTATATCATTCAAGTGTGGTTACACTAAATGCTATGTGGGTAGTAGCGAACAGAGACACAGTTTTATTTTTTATTATTATTTTATTATACACGTTGAACACATTGAAATGGGGATACAGAAAATGTACAGATTAGAATCCCATAGTCAAAAACTGCAGCGAAACCCCCGGACAACTTTGGTTCAACGGATGCTCGCATGAATTTCTGGACAATGAAATCGTCCTATTTTTTCATTAAAATACTGTCCACAGATATGTTTCTCATTAAGCAACTGTTTGCCATTTCAACCAGTGCTCCACATGTGAATCTTACATAGATTTTTGCAGGCTGGGTGAAGTCTGCAAAAAAACCCCAAAAATGCCAACGTCCAGCTAATGTTTTTCAACATGAGAACATTGTGCCAACTTCTGCAGGCAAGACAATTTAAACATTGCTATTACTACTGTTTCAGATGGTTAGTTGTTTGGATAACCTAGCATTCAAGACTACTGGAAACCTCCCTGAGGCAGCAATCGAATGTAGTGCCTGAGTTACCACATAGCAAGAAAATTGAACACTCTTGACTGCACACTAATTGAGGCTCCTTGCAAGCTTTTTGGCAGGCTTTAAGAAATTGATTTTAAGTTTTGCAATGCTGCAAATAGGATTTTAAAATGCTACTACATCATGAGTCAAACAACTAAATGTCAAGAACTTGTGCATCAAACACTCACCCAGACAGTCAATGTGGGGCTTCTGGCGTGCCTCAAGCTCTTCCAGCCACGGTTCCGTCATTTCGAGCACTGCCAGCCCAGTCTGAGCGAGTTGCAAACAGTTGAGGAGATGAACTGATCTGTCAGCAGGGGCAAGCCGGCTTGACAGTTGCTCACACGCTGCCAGTGCTGGCTCTAGAACCTGAAAGTTGTCATGTAAATTTATCAGCAAAAAATATTTAGATACGGCATCACTGAAGCACTTCCAGCCATGAAAGTGAATCATGATAATTTGTATGTGTGCACTAACACTACAGAAGATTTTTGACAGCAGAAGAACAAATGATGGTTATGAATCTGGGGTAACCATTCCTGTGGGCACAATATCACTGATGGAAATGACATTTTGCTTTTTGCAGCAGATTCTAAAGCAGAAAAAATGGTGCTTAGGATCGCTATTGGTGTTTTCGGAGCAGATGCATGTTCCCCACGACTCCTGAAGTTCAAAACATCACTTAAGCATCTAAGAAATATTTATATTTATTATTAAACATGCCATATGCTAGTATCCAGCTTGTTTAAAAGCAGTATAGTTGGCGTAAATTGATTGATTGATTTGTGGGGTTTAACGTCCCAAAACCACCATATGATTATGAGAGACGCCGTAGTGGAGGGCTCCGGAAATTTTGACCACCTGGGGTTCTTTAACGTGCACCCAAATCTGAGCACACGGGCCTCGACATTTCCGCCTCCATCGGAAGTTGGCGTAAATCATGGACAGGGGGGGGGTGAAGAAGGTCCGGACTTTTCTGGTGTTCAGGCTGCTAAGAACACCCCTTGCAAGTGTCCCACTTGAGATTATTTAGTTTAGCACGTGATATAATTGAGTTAAGAGTTAGGTATAGCACAATCAACTTTTCAAAAGGCTTTTTATCTTTTACTGCGTACTAGTGGTTTTCCCTCAGCTGTGTGAACTATGGAAATCGAAAAAAAAAGGTGGTAAAAAAGAGACTGAATAGAACAATACAATGCAATTGCTCGAGCTCGGACCCCATGCTCGTTTTTTTGTTTTAATTTTATTTGAAAGCATGATTTAATTCTTAAATAAATAAGAATACAACCCATATTAAAAATACGAATTGGACACCATGGCCTAATATATATCACCCCTTGAGATTTTTCTGGAATTATGCCACTGAGTAGCAGCATACTAGGATGATAGTGTATACAGCTTGCTTTTGGCTTTCCTTATGATCACGGGATGATCCCATGGTTCAATGTCAATCTTTTTAGTTTGCCAACACCATTTTGGGGCAGGTTTCCAGCAGTTACTAGCAAATATTGCACTTTGGAGCAGCATGGAGCAGCATTTCTTTTTTGGAGCAGTTTGGAGCTGTTTAGAGCAATTAGAGCAGCACTTCCATCACTGCAATATAAAACATACAGAAAAAGAGTTGCAGAGGATCCCTAAGCATATAGTTACGAGGTAGGAATGCGAAAGGGTTTCTTTTGGCTAGGCTGATGAAGCCCCCGAGGAGCGCTGCTAAGTCAGGTTCCCTGGGTGTCTTGTAAAGAATGAGAAAACGCAGAGGTCGAATTGCGTTGATTTAGTTCACTTGGTGCGTGGCCTCTGGGATTGTGCACCGAAGGGTTTCTCTCCGGCCTTCCCAATCACATGGAGACAGTGTAATTTCAGGGGTTGGCATGGCCCGCTCCTCCTCTGCATCACGGCGCTCATCACTGAGGGTCAAAGAGGATGCGGTGTTGCTGGGGCGGCTTGCCTGAGGCGAGAAAAAATGATTCTGCACTTCTTCATAACCTCCCACTGAGTGCAAATTGTCAGGCCAAAATATACAAGAGGCAAAGTGCATGCTGGGGCCTATTTACACTCAAATGCACTTTTTTCGTTTGCTTGAGATATGTGCCTTTGATAGTACAGCACTTGGAAGTGCAATGCCTCTGCAAGACATCCGCATGCACTGGAAACGCACTATACAATGGACTCCCAATAAATGAAACTCGCTTAAACGAAAATACCTCACTAACGAAACTAAACAGGCTCATATGGCAGGATTTTTATGTGTTGCGCAGTAAAATTCATCGGTTAATTCAAACAGTGCTTATTGGTCACCTACGGTTAAACGGCACAAACTCTAAACACAGTATAGACTCGTTCAAGCGAAATGTGGTCTTACAACCATGGCAACACTTCGAGACAAGCCAATCCCGTAGCCATTTTCACTTGTGGCTGTGGGAGCGGTGTCTGCGAGTCAGCTGTGTGTTAGGCCTATTTGTGCGGCTAAGTGCGGTGGATCACGGTGTTATTTCAGCCAGATGGAAAGAGTGGCCGCACCATGCACTCTCGCTTGAAAAAAAAACAGCGAATTCTTCACAAGCATGATCTAAGTGGCTTGCCCAAGATGGAGGTGGCGAAAAAATATGGCATCCCGAAATCGACGCTGTCGCGGATTTGCTAACACAGAGAAATGATTGAAGGCGCTGTAAAAAACGGGACCTTTAAATGTGAACGGATACGGATGTGGGCAACGCCTTGTGAACAACTAGAAAAGTTCTTTTTCTGTGGTTCAAGCGTGCACTGAGTTTTAATTTGCCAATAGGCGGACCAATTCTCGAGCAGAAAGCTCGAGAGATCACCATGCAAATGGGTGCTGGTAATTTTGTCCTAAGCGACAGATGGATCAGCGGCTTCAAAACATGCCATGGCCTAGTCTTCAAAGCAATCTCAGGCGAGAGTGTTGCAGTCAACAGGGACACTTGCATCGACTGGCAACAGGGGCGACGTAAGGAAATTTTGATGAATTTTGAGCCACGAGACGTCTTGAACACCGACGAGATTGGTCTTTTTTATAAGGCGCTTCCATCGAAGACTCTTACTATCAAAGGTGAAGCCTGTAGTGAAAGAAAACGCAGTAAAGATCACATCACTGTGCTGGTGGGTGCAAACATGGCAGGAGATGAGAAATCGAAGCTGTTGGTAATAGGAAAATCAAGGCAACCACGTTGTTTCAAAGGCGTTCGACAACTTCCCGTTACGTACCATGCGAACCGAAGAGGGTGGATGATTATGGCCATTTTCGAAAACTGGCTATGGGAGGAAGACCCAAGATTTACGAGGCAAGGCAGGAATGTTGTAGTTATGTTTGGGGCACGCGAAGGATGGGCAGTCGGTAGACGGCGCCCGACGAAAAGAGAAGTTAATGAAAGAGGCTGCCCTGACGCGGACTAAGCCGTTCTCCTAGGAATGCGTCTTTGTCGTCGAACCCCTTTGTCGTCGAAGTTGGTGTCAATGTGTGGAGTATATGAAGGGCTGGGCAAGTAACGTCGACGTTGATATTATTACAGGCCAGTGCTTACTGTGCGCTTGGTTTAGTGGCCACCCCGGCCTTTGTTGGTAAATAAGTGTCAATGTGTAAATAAACCGAAGTTTGCCAGGAAGTGAGCAAGTAGTCCAGTCCTTCAATGTGCCATCGTGATCATCTGAACCATCGGGATTACATCCATCATCCCAATCTTAACTGGCGCAGTCGAGCAGGAGGTCGCGGCGGCTTCCTGGAGGACAATGAGACATCCTGCCTTCCTGGCGCACACACACACCGAAAGCCAAAAGTGGGGGCAAAAAAAAGGCCATCAGGTGACATCAGAGCCGAGATGACAAGCAGTTCAAGAAACCTGAATTCTACGCAACACTGACCCTGGCGATCAGCTGAGCTGGAATCGAGAGTGTTGGCTTCCTACGCTCGGACATCGGCTTCTCACCCAAAGTGGCTGGTGACGACTGGAGTTATGGAGAGAGTAAGCGGGTGACTGGCGACCGGCACACCTTTCAAGGGAAAGACTGAGTGGTGCACGTACATCCAACTGCAGTGGTTCCACTAACTGCTGACTGGAACTTCTAACTGAAGGTGATGCAGCGACTCATCTACGCACAGTGAACCACAGGTGGGTCACTGTTGCGTTTTTTCCGGGAGCACCATGGCGACTAGGGTGACGAGAAGTCAGAGGGCAGACGGGACTACTGAGAACCAGGAGTCAGATCATAATGAGGCATCAGCGGGTATGACCGGTGCAAATGTGGTTGTTAGTGAAAGCACGGATCCTGCTGTTCAAGTTCGAATGAAGGAGCTGGAAATAGAGGGTTTGAAGCTCCAACTTGAGCTACAAAAATTTAAGTTTCAGCCTCAGGCAGGAGTTGAGGTGGAGCAGAGTGACAGGTCTGGTTTGGCACGGTATGCGGATTGGTTGCGGGCAGTTCTTCCACCAATGCCGGTTTCCGATGAGTTGGTGCCTGCGTGGTTCCACAGCGCTGAAAATATGCTTAGAAGTTGCGGTATTCCAGAAGATGTTCAGGGTGCTATTATTATGCCGTTTTTGAATGAGAAATCTTGGACATTAGTAGTAGACAGAGCTGAGGAGCGAGTCTTTTCTTACGAAGAGATTCGTGACCTCATCTTACAGGAACTGAAGCTTACCCCCGAGGAATACAAATGCAGTCTTTACACATGTAGGAAGGGAGATGAGACGTGGGAGCAGTTGCTCAGTAGGCATGAGATCCTACTTGACTATTACCTTTGTAGTAGAGAGATTAAAACATTACAGGAGCTACGTGCGTTATTGATTTCCGACCGCGTCAAACAGCTAATGAATGAAGAGATGCGGACATACATCCGACAGAATGAAACAGCAGAGTGGCTCAGGCCCCAGCCTCTAGCGAAGCTTGCGCAGAAATATGACGAGAGCAAAGAGAGCAGAAGATGGGGCGAAACCAACGTTGCTGAATCGAAGAGAGGGGAATCATATAATCACCACGTTGCTTATCCGCCATCAATAGGCAATAGGAAGACGATGCTCCGATGCTATGCTTTTGGGGAAAGCGGACACTATCAATGGCAATGCCCACATACGACACTGAAAACATCGGCAACAGAAGGGGGCAAGAAGTACACCCGCCTGAATGGTTGACGGCCATGGCAGTGTGCGAACCTATGACAGGAGCAAAGTTTCTTTCACAGACATGATTAGTACGTCAAGGTTACCGTGGGTTGAGTTAGTAAGCAGGGGGAACTTGTTTAGGGCGTGTCTAGATTCAGGATCTGGCATAACCGTTCTCAGAGAGGAGCTGATTCCTGCTGTAGCGAAACACCAGCGAATAGGAAAAGTATGCCTAAGAGGAGCATTCGGGCA